CTACATAGCACAAGGCCAGGCCCTCCAAGTTTGCATTACTTGCCCCATAATTGATTAGCTGAATGGCTTGTCCTCACTGACGGATCAATGGGAACACAATGCTGTACACAAAAACTTTGGTTGGCCATTTGGCTCAGGCTCAGCCTGCATAGGTGGATGCCTCTCTCTAACAGCCCTTCTTTTTTTTTTTTTTTTTTTTTTTTTGAGACAGAGTCTTACTCTGTTGTTCTTGGGCTAGAGTGCCATGGTGTCAGCCTAGCTCACAGCAACCTCAAACTCCTGGGCTCAAGTGATCCTCCTATATCAGCCTCCCAAGTAGCTGGGACTACAGGCATGTGCCACTATGCCTGGCTATTTTTTTTCTCTATATATTTTTAGTTGGCCAATTAATCTCTTTCTATTTTTAATAGAGACGGGGTCTTGCTCTTGCTCAGGCTGGTCTTGAACTCCTGAGCTCAAATGATCCACCTGCCTCAGCCTCCCAGAGTGCCAGGACTACAGCCACCACAGCTGGCCCTAACAGCCCCTCTTGAGAAGAGACCAGCCTTGGAGTAAACCATCCTCTGATCTACCGTCCTGTATCACCACCCTGCATCCAACTTCCCCGAACCTGGTTTCTTCCAGCCTTAGTTTCTCCTGCCCAGGAAAGAAGAACCCTTTCTGCCTAACTCTTCCCATCCTCAAAGACCTATAGTCAAAGCTTTCTTGCTATTGCAATAGTTCACTTCCCTATTAAAATAACAGGGATAATTAAAATAACAGTCCTCCCCAACCCTTGCAATAATCCTTTCAGAAACAAAAGCCTGTTCACACTAAGTCCACATCTGTTTCTTCATTGACACTCTTAATATAAAAGTAACGTCCCCATTCGCTATTGCTCTAGAGAGATGTTTGATGGTTTCTGGGGAAGGGGCGGCTTCTTGAATCTCTTAGCACCACCCAAACCCCAGCCAGCAAATCTGCTGCCGGGTACTAAGTACCGTAACCAGGAAAGTCGTGAGACCTCGGAGCAAATTTCCCACACTCCTCCAAAGCACAACGTGAAAATCGACACATGGGGCTACACACTGATTATGTAGAAACATCTGATTTCAAACTGTTTGATGATGTCAATATGTGATGTAAATATATGGATTATTGCAAGTAATTTTCTAAGACCATAGGAGTTCCCAATCTGGAGCCCCCATGCAATGGCTCTAGACCTGATTTTGTACAGCCAGTGAGCCGAGAATGGATCTCACATTAACACACAGCCACGTGACTACCTACATCATATTCTCAACGCCACCTCTTGGTCCACAAAATCTGAAATACTTCACAATCTGGACCTTTAAGAGTGTTTGTCATCAGTCCCTGCTAGACGCTGCCAGTGCATGTCGGTGGGAGATACAGGACTCAAAGGAGCGGAAGACACACAAGGGAAGAACAAGGCTGTTTTCTACAGTGTAAGTGTAGATATATTTCCAGACCAGGGCAGTAGGTTTTCCAAGTAGGGGCCCTGGAGCAGCGGCCTCACCCCGGGGGCTCTTCAGAAATACACATCCCTGGGGAAATGCACGTCCCCAGACCTGCAGAACCAGAGCCCAGCTGGCGGGGAGGGGATCTGTGTTTCCACCAACTCTCCAGGGAACTTTGGTCTACACCGCAGGGACGTGTGTCCATTTGAACGTACCCAGCGATATCATCTCCCACCAAAATCAGGGGCTTGCATAGGGTTGCCAGGAGAATTAAAACACCAGTGACTGTCAAGTAGTCACTGTTCTTCATACCATAAAAGATGCACAGGGCAGAGTTTGTGTTTCCACAGAAAACCACCCATTGTCTCAATCACCTGCCGCTGGTTGTGCAATTGCGATTCGATAGAATTCTGTGCCCTGTAGTGCCTCGGAGTCATTTTACAACTCTGTGAATTGCAAATAGTTGAGAGTAATCCAACATCATTCCTGTCTCCAGACATGCATGTTCTGTCCCTTGGAAGTTCAAGTGATTTCTGTCCCCCACAAAATTAGAAGTCCGTTTTGCCCCCACTTGCACATCTGTTTCAATTTTTTTTTTAAATCTATAAATAGGACTGTTGTTTGAGTTGTTCTTTGAACGTACTGTAAGACCTTCCTGGAGGGTCACACACCAATATGGAGTTAAATAACACCTCCAACATTTGTTCATTTTATATCTCTCTGAGAGTCATGATTTCCCGTATTCTTTGACAATTATCCTCTAAAGGGCATTTTTCATAGAATAGACTTATTGTTAAAGAAAAGAAAAAAGAAAAAAATCTTCCCAAGGAAGAAGAATTGATAAACTCACACCTACCTTATTCCCCCTGGAGTTATACTTCCAATTTTCAGCGAGAAAACAGTTACAGGACAAAACTATTTTACAATGTTGCACTCTCGTCTTAAAACTCCATTTTACAATGTTACACTCTCCTCTTAAAACTCTATTTTACAATGTTGCACTCTTGTCTTGGTGGAAGTTTGTCAGTTTCCTGATCTTTTTTTGTTTATTTGTTTGTGTCCTTCCAGTGCAAACTTAAAGATGCAGCTTGAATGCCAAGCTTGTTATAAATCTTTTAAAAAATTGATAATGCTTGTCAGCAAAACAGTTTTGTTTTGTTCTTGATGCTAAGTCCTTTCTCGCCATCATAAGAATATTCCGAGAAACCGGATCTCTGGCTGCCTCGCTTTTCTCTTCCCTTTCCTTTTTACAGAACCCAGTAAGAAATCCTGCAGTGGCTGGCCAGTTGCCTCAGGGAAGGGGGTTTGTGGATGGAGGGAGACCGTAACCATTTAAGGGACACCAGTTAGGCATTGATCCAAGGGAGGTGTCGAAACCCAGACAGGCCTGCAAACCCTGACACATCTCAGCAGTTGCAGTTGGCGTTCGGCTGTTTGGTGACATTTGGGAGCCATTGCCCTGGAGTCCCTAATATTCACTGGAGGGGGAGCTAGGATCCAGCGGACTCTTCTCTCTCTCCTCCCTTCCTTCCTGCTCTTTGCAGCCAGCACTCCAGATGACTCTTGGATCGTTAGTGGAGCTGTCCCTTGTATGCAGCCATGTGCACACTTGTGCATTGACATTACAGAAACGGGGATTAGCAGATGAACACTAGACTACGAAATACATGTTTTACACGGTGGCGTTCTGCGGAATCGGCTTCCCTTTCTCAAGACTACTCAAGTGGCACATTCGTTACACATCTTCTACGTACTCTAAGGGGTTCCTTTTCCCAGTAGGTCGTGACAAGCTAACTGTATTCGTTTGCTAATGCCTTGTAACAAATCACTACAGACATGGAGGCTTCAGACCACTGGATTATTTTCCCGGAGTTTCCATGGGCTAGGAGTCCAGGCGTGGCATAGGTGGGTCTTCTTCTGGGGGGCTGGCTTTACAAGGCTGCGGTCATTGATCATGTCAAGCTGGGTGTCTTCTCATCTGGAGCCCAGGTGCTCTTCCAATGTCACCGGGGGTTGGTTGGGTCCACCTCCCTGTGGCTGTGGAATGCATGACCTCCAGAGAGGCCAGCGAGAGAGACTGGTGTGTTTCAAAACTCTTGCCCCTGAACTTTCTCTTAAGCGGCTCTTTGAACTGGTGAGGTCTGTCCAGCAAAATCTCCCTCTTGATAAACTCAAAGCCACCTGATTAGGGACTTCAATTGCATGTACAAAGTGGTACGTACAAAAAGTCTTTCACCTTTGCCATATAATATAGCCTAATCCCTAGTACGACAGCCAGCGTCAGCAAAAGCCCTCCCTTCCCTTAAAGACGGGCCCACACAGGGCGTGTTAGCCAGGCTGTGGGGAGCCTGGAGACTGTCTCATCATTCTGTCTCCTGCGCTTAATATAAAATCAGACCGTTTCTTATAGATCCTGTGCCCTGCTTCAGTATGACTGAGCGAGTCAGTTGGTTCTTACTTGAGCAATGCCAATTTAATTTTAAAGGTCATTTTTTTCCCCAAAAGAATTAAGCTGCAGATACCTCTAATGAGAGATTTTTCTGGTATTTGGGGAATGCGGCTCGTGCAAGAACTGTGTTCCTCTATCTGTCTTTTAAAAGTCTCTTCCCATATTTTTTTCAAACCTCTGCTGGTGGCTGATTTGATTTAGACTCAGAAGGGTTAGCTTGTTCATGCAGATTCAGGAGAGAGCTACTGCATAATGCTCAAGATGGGATACTGTACTTGTTTGAAACAAAAGAACACCGTGCGCTGTGCAGATTTACTGCCGAATCTTTTTTTTCTTTTTGAGACAGAGTCTCACTCTGCTGCCCAGGCTAGAGTGAGTGCCGTGGCGTCAGCCTAGCTCACAGCAACCTCAAACTCCTGGGCTCAAGCGATCCTTCTGCCTCAGCCTCCCGAGTAGCTGGGACTACAGGCATGCGCCACCATGCCCAGCTAATATATATATATTATATATATATATTTTTTAAGTTGGCCAATTAATTTCTATTTATAGTAGAGACGGGTCTCGCTCTTGCTCAGGCTGGTTTCGAACTCCTGACCTTGAGCTATCTGCCTGCCTTGGTCTCCCAGAATGCTAGGATTATCGGCGTGAGCCACCGCACCCGGCCTGCTGCCGACTCTTAACATGCACATAGGATGTTGAGTGAAGCTCTTAGGTGCTGGGTAGGATTCACAACCGAGGAATGGAAATGGAAACCAACAGTGTAGACTGTGGAATTTAAGATCCGAAAAGGACCATAAATATTTCAACTTGAATACCTTCACTCTAAAAAATACTTAAAGCTCTGACATGAGGGGCTTCCCACAAGTCACAGAAGGAGCAGGTTTAGCGACAGAACAATACCCAAGTCTCAGCATCTCAGCCTCCTGTGTGCCCTCACTTGCTTCTGTCTGTGTTGCTGATGAATGACAACTTCCGACACACACACACACACACACACACACACGGTTGAGTCCCAGCCAGCCCGGAAGTGCCAAGCAATAATTGGAAAGTAAAGAGGAAACACAGCCCGCTGTGTCTATAAAACTGTAACATACCTGTACTTGGGGTTCTCCAAGCACCATTCTGGCCTGAGAGATGAGAAAGCAGCTGAAAACCAACCCAAAGTAAAAAAAAAAAAATATGTCAACATACACACACTGAAAAGAAGACCCAGAGATAGCAATTAGTAATAACATCCAGAGGGTGAAGGCAGAAGGCAGATGGGTGGGCAGCATCATGAGGATGAACTTGGACAGGTCAGGGTCTCTCTGGTGAGGAAGATGAGAAATGAGGGCAATGCTGGAATGACTTGCCCAGCGACTGGGACCACGTAGTTCTCTTCCATAAAGTCAGTGGGGCCCAATGCCGGCTCTAGGTACAGCTAGTTCTTCACCTGGGTGCAATTCAGGTAAACTGCCAACATGATTCCACCACAGCTGTGTTTCAGCTCATCGTGGGAATTCGGACTGGACGAGCCCTATCCCGCCCTATCCCACCGCCTCCAGTCTCCTATGCCAGGTTAATAACTAAAGCCCTGCCTTGTCTAAAATCCCCATGTCTAAAATATTTTCTTACAAACCTACCTAGTTATCCAGTTTTCCCAAGACGGGGGCTGTGCTTTCTTCTTGCTGATTTTTACCGTGACGGAAGCCTGCCACCTGTGCTTTTAAAAATACACTTTATTGCAGTAAAAAAAGTCATGCCCGATAACTGCATACCTGATATTCTTAAATGTCTTGTTACAAATGATGACCACAGTTAAGATATTTCCATAGCATCCAACAACAACAACAACAAAAAGAACTTGAGTGCTCATCAGAACCCCCCAGAGGGAGGACTTGTTAAAACAGGGCTTTCTGGAACCAGCAACGGTTCCAGATTCAGGAGGTCTAGCATGGAGGGGTAGGGGTGCAGGGAGAATTTGCATTTCTAACAGGGATGAGGCTGGGATTCCACAATTTCAGAGCCAGAAGACCAAAGTGCAGCATGGCATCTCAGTCAAGCTTTCTGTTGTCTGTCCTTCCTAGCTTTCCCTTCCACTTTTTTATTTTTTTCCTATCCTATCTGCTTCCAGCATCTGCACTGCCAAACTCAGCTTAAGGAGTTGTCTACAGCTGGTAACCATTGAACATTTTATATATATATACCTTCCCGAATGCCGTGAGGCAGGCATCATTATCCCTGTTTTACCAACGTGGAAACCAAGCTTAGAGCCAAGGAGTAACTTGCTCTTTGCAGAAAGCTTACGAAAAGCCAAGTTAGGAGACCAGCTCTGTCTCTCGTTTTTATTTAGCACCATATTGCCGCACCAAAGGTTAACTACCTTGTCTCGGAAATCCGGCTTCTGGAAAATGTTAGCTCTCTCTCCTCCTCCCATTTCTGTCGGATGCTCTTAAAAGCCCCGGCTTGTAAACAGTGCACCCGAAGGGAAGAACACCGTGGGCTGAAGGTCGGCGATTTGGAAAGCGCCAGGTTCAGCTGCTACTCACCTGGCTAAGGTGCTCTGCATCCTTTTAGCGTGTCTTTCCTCGCCAGCAATGGTTGCGGCCCTCGTGCTTTGTTTTCCGCCGTCAGTGAGCACCTGTCCTTGTGAGACAGAGAAGCACGGTGCAGAGAAGGATCCAATTTCACGGCTTCCCCTGATTGGCAAATTGAGTTACACAGAGGTTAATTAGCTTTCCTAATATCTCAAGTTGGCCCAGGTATCGAAATTAGCAAGGTGGGGTGAGTAATTGGCAGCCTCGTGCGGTGACGGCTCACCAATTGTCCTCCGCGCAAGAGATGGTTGACATTTTCTGGGTTACTCTTAAACTCGTTATCGGCACAGGCTAAAATGGACCCTGTACGCTTAAACATGTTTGTTTGCATAATATCAACAGGCGGACGAGCTCAAGTTAATTAGGTCAAGGACAGTTTAGAACTTTGAACTCATAGCTGGGTGCTCACTAAGTAAGTCTGCAAATGCATAAAGAAAGGCTGCCCTGAAAGGAGGAAAAAACAGGGCATTCTGAAACTTTCTGAATGAGGTCGTGGCAATCCTCACTCAAACTCCCTACCCACGCAAACAAAAACAAAAAACGCAGGATTACAGGCTGGTTGGTGCTCTTAAAATTACAAGGGAGGGGGCAAAAATGACCAGGGAGAGAAATTGAGAATGGTCTTCTTTTAAACCTGATTTTAACCTTCTAGAAACTGGACCCAGCTGCAGAAGGTCACACAAACTACATATCTCATTCAGCAAAACGCGGCACTTTGCCGTTTTCCAATCCTCCGCTGTGTGGGTATTTTTACCCCTGAATGAACCCAATACGTTGTTAGAGCGAAATGTCCTATTTAAGTATGGTAGCTCATCTGTTTCAATTTCCTACATTTGATCTATTTTAGTAGTATCCTCATTGTGTCATGAAAGCCCACGGAGCTATCCAAGCCTAATAAAAATGTTACACAACTATCTTGCAGGAAAAAAAAACAAAACAGCAGAATCTTTTTTTCTGTTGTTTCAGGTTTTTTTTATAGGTTCTCTCTCTCTATATATATATACACTATATATACATAATAATACATTATATTACATTGTGTATATAATATGTACTTTACATATAATGCATCTATAATGTATTTTTAAATATAATATATATTTAGAGAGAATGAGAACAAAAAGGTTCTGAAGTTATTGTATTTTAATGCAAGATAATTAGATACCATTTGTAATGCAAGATAATTAGATAATAGGATAATTAGGCTTGGACAGCTCAGTGGGTTCCTGTAACATATATGTGCTATATAAAATATATATATATATATATCTTATGGCTAATAGAATATTTTTCTTGAGGGTAGAGTCTATATCACACTCCCTGCTTTATCCTGAGCACCTGAACAGGTGATTTCAAAATCACAGGTGTCTAATACAATTTGTTGAATGAACCAATGATTCATTTGACTTGTTAATTTCAGTCTTCTTTTCTTTGTCCATGACTGAGCTTGTCTTTATTTGGAAGTAGGGCGACTGGCTTACTTGTCCTGGTTTACTAAAGGCTTTTCGCTTTTTAGCACTGAAAATCTGGTATCCAGGAGAAGACCCGGTTTGGGGCAGATCAGGAATGGTTAGTCACCCCATTTGGAGAGGTGAGACTTTCGCCTCTTTTTGCATTCCTCATTGTCAACTCTTGCTGGTGGGTTGGCCCCTACACAGCCCCATCCTTTCATATCTCTCCAATTTTTCCCCACTATGGAAAAAAGCCACACCTTTCTCTAACCGAACAGAAGCCCGCACTAGCGGTCCAGGTGTCTACCTTACCTCATCACATTGTCCTTTAGAGAACCATGTGTTCCTCAAAAGAGGAACTTGTTTAAAAAGCAGAGGAGAAGATAGACTCCCTCAGTGCTCACTGACAGATAAAGCTTGTGTTCAGGTGTTCAACAACTTGTGTAGTTATTGGGTACGCAGGCGTCTCCCATGTGCCTAAGTTTCCATTTTTAACTGTGAGGCCAAATAGTTTCGTTGTCTAACATCCTCTGCAGAGATGTCCCGAGACCCTGAGAAAGGTTCCATATGAGTCTCTTGTAGCTGCTATAACAAACTCCCACCAGACAGGGACTTAGAACAACACAAATGTGTTATTTCACAGTCCCGGGAGTCAGAAAGTCAGAAATGGGTCTCACTGGGCTAAAATCGAGATGCCAGCAGGGGGATTCTGTAAGGGAGGATCCGTCTCTGTCTCCTCGTCTTTCCACCTTCTGGATGACGGTGTCATTTCTTGGTCCATGACCCTTTCTTTAACACATTGACTGCCTCACTAGAAAAAAAATATTTCCCGGACGCCAGGGTGTTTTATTATGAAAATAGAATAAAAACTTCAAAACCAAACTGACCCTTTCTAATGTAATGAAAAAAATCTGTTTTTTATTGTTTTCTGTGCACGAGTTATATGCAATTGTCAATATTGATTGCAACGGTAAGAGCATCCATCAGCAAGTAAGATTTTCATGAACCAACTGCGGGGTTTTGCTCAGGGGGCCACCCATTACGTAACATGTGTGCTGCAGCATGACCACGTGAGTTGCCTGCGCACCACGAGGCTCCCAAGGTAAAGAGACGTGTGAGTTACATACAATTCACGAGGCCCCAGGCTCAAAACTAGTGTGAGTTAAGTTCCAACACAAGAGTTTTGAAGGGGTGCATACGTGTGTAAAGTGACATTTTTACACGTTTCAGGAGTTGACATGGACATCAATATCCTTGGAAGGGAGGGGACATTCTGCCTTCCACAGTTTGCCCATACACATTCCAGGTTTTAGGAAACGTTTTAATAGTGACTTTTAAAAGCTCTCTAGAAAAGAGGGAGAGAAAAAAGACAAAGCACTAAGACGTGTTCCCTGACCCCGAACTCTGCACAACTGAAATTTGGGCTGGATCATTTTCGTTCTGAGCGTTGTCCTGCATATTATGGGGTGTTTAACAGCACCCAACCTCTACTCAGCAAACACCCCTCCACCCTACCCTGTTATAACCGCGGAAAATGCCAGACACTGCCAAGCTTCCCCCAGAAAGCAAAACTGGCCCCCTCCCCGACCCTACCGAAAATCACAATGGAAGGAGATTTGAGCCATCCTACTTAATCCGATTGTGTTGCCAGTGGTTGGTTCATTTGTAGAAATTTCCCTTTGGACACCAATTTATGAAGCACAGGAAAAAAAAAAAAAAGAAAGAAAAGAAATCACCCATGATGCCATCAGAGCTCTCCTTGCTTTTAAATTCAGAATAATATTATTCATCTTGGGCTTCCTCTTCCTCTCCAAATTGGCCCATAAATGGCTTTTGGTCACTCCAGAAAACAAAGTAGAATAGACAATAAATTGGCCACATCAATGAGGCAATTCGAAGTAATTTGTGGCAGGCTTTAAGGATAATCCCAAGCACAGACTTCAAAACCTATATCTTGTGCACTTGTAGTGCCCTTAAGAGCTTCAAACAATGATTTCTTTGTTTGAAGGGGATAATGCACATTTGTGTGTTTATGTTCTGTGTCATTTACTAAAAATAAGTAAGTTTAACTTCAGAGTAACACATTACTTAGAATGAAAATAGCGTTGGATTTATCACAAATCGGATGCAAAACAGTGAGCTGCCCAATGGGTTGGGGATACAAAGTGGCCAAAATAACACTTGTGTGCTTAAAAAATATGTATTTTCTACACAGTGCACACTCTCCTCATTCTAGCTTTTCATTTTATCTGAACTCTTTTATAAGTCTTTAAATTTCAGGTAACAGATAGTAATGGAAAAAAAAGTATCTTAGAGACTTGCAAAATTCTTTCCTGTCCCACTTTGGCTTAAGTACATACAGTTAACTCTTTTCCTTCATCCCATGTGGAAAAGCCAGTCCAGCCTCCCGTTTGCATATTCATTTCCATGCTCCTGGTCTATAAATTTGTGAGATTTAAAAGCTTTTCCTTGGAACCAATCAATGTGCTTGGTTCTGTCAACCAATCTGTCGCATGAAATCGCTTAAAACCAACAAGTTGTTAAAAAGTGTTCATTTTTATATCTTACTATGAACGTGATGATTTCACTCTCTTGTGAGTCTAACAACTTCAAGTGCCATTTGTGTTACCAGTCTTGGGGAAAGAACACAGCATAAATACTTCTTAAGGTCAGATTTAATATTTGCGGAGAGGAGGTGCATTTAGAGCGGTTGGCGGCACGTCAGAATCTGGAGGGCACTTTCTATTTTTTTTTTTCTAAGCAACATCCCTCCAGTGCTCAGGAAACCGCCTGTCCGCAAAGAGTTTCCCAACGCCCAGGAAGAATCTTCCAGAGCAGCGGCCCCCGACCTTTTTGGCACCAGGGGCTGTTCTCATAGAAGACAGTTTCTCCATGGACTGGAGAAGGGGTAGGGATGGTTTCGGGATGATCCAAGCGCATTCCATTTACTGTGCACTTTATTTCTGTTATTGTTACATCGCCGTATATAATGAAAAATCATTATACAACTCACCGAAGGTTGGTGTCCAGTGTTCTAGAGAGTGGAGTAAAAGGTTAAAGCTTTTCTCTCTCCTTTCTCTTTGTTCTGAAATTTCTTTTCTTCTTCGAAATGCTTTCGCCTTGGATCGCATTTCCTTTAGAGTTAATTTTCCTTTTCTTACCTTTTTCCTTTCCTTACCTATTCTCCACCACGGCTGATGTGTTGAGATACGCTTCCCGCCTCCTCCTGGGGCAGAAGTACCTATCCTCCTGTTAGTTAGTTTATCAGCTAGGCGAGAGAAATGATGTTGGTGCAGCCAGAGCATCGTGGGGACCCCCACTTTGACTCAGGCAGTACAAAAGCAATCCGTGTCACCGAAACATTGGTACTCCCATAATATTCTGAAAGGGAAGGGAGTTGGGAATACACTTAGTTTGTGGGTGTCCACACTCGCACCCATGTAATGCGAAATTTTGCTGGGTCTCCAGGTCTATAACTGTTTGGCTTCCAGAAATCCACCTGCTGCCTTTGATCCTCATTCTCCTGATATTGTGGCTATTCCCAGTCATGATCACAGACCACTGCAGCCTCCCGGCCTTAAGAGATCCTCCTGCCTCGGCCTCCCGAGTAGCCGGAACCACTGGCACTGGCCATCATGCCCAGCATTCTTGCTTTATATTAAAGTGGAATTTGGTGGATTCCTGTGTCTGTCCAGCAGAAGCCCACTGTAATAGGACTGCAAACGGCAAATGGAGCTGCAATAAACAGCTCACGCACACAAAAAACCTCATAGCCGTTTTCATGTTTGCTCCTATCTTGAAAATCTACATGGTGTC